TCTCTTCACAGGACATGAGACTTCACAACCTGCTAAAAATAAACTTTCCAGACCTATCTATCTAGCCATGAGAGATCAGATAAAACCTGAGACCAGAGACTCATTTTCTTGCAAAATGCTTTCCCCAAAATCTTTTTTAAAAGAAAATGGGAGAAATGTGAAAGGAAAATACCTTGGGCCTCTTCAAGCTGGAATGCAAAGCAGATCTACCTCTCATTCCATTCAAGTCACCCTTTGGCTCACAGAGATCCATGCACATTCTGATTGCCTCCTTTGGAAAGATTTACCAGAAACTCAAAAGAATGCAACCATCTGTGTCTCTCACCTATCTGTAACCTGGAAGTCCCCAGGGCTTTGAGCCTGGGAGCTTGCTTTGAGCTGTCTCCGCCTTTCTTTCTGGAACTAATGTGCTTCTTACATATTGATGTCTCATGTCTCCCTAAAATGTATGAAACCAAGCTGTGCCCCAGCCGTCTTGGCCACATGTCCTCAGGACTTCCTGAGGCTGTGCCATGGGCATGTCGTCAACCTTGGCAAAATAAACTTTCTAAGTTAACTGAGACCTGTCTCAGATTTTCTGGGTTCACAGCTGATTCAGAAGCTGGTTATTGAGACCTGCTAGGTGCTTAGGCCCAGACTTGCCTGCCAGGGTGGGGTGAAGGAAACACCTGTCCCTGCCCAAGTGACTGCTCCTGGATCGGAGTCAAATCTTGAGACTGAGCCAGGACACCCCTGGCACGGTGGCCATTGAAGCAATGAAACTCACCTCGGCTTGACTACCACCTGGGCTTGGTCCTTCAGGCTGCCTGGGAAAGAAAAGCTGGCAAGGGTGAGGGAAAGAAGGGCCCAGGGTGCTGGGGACAGGATGAGACTTGTGCACAGGATCAAGCCCCAGAAGTGGTGGCTGCTGCTCCTGTTCAGGAAGCAGGGTCCCAGAGTAATGCCCATGTAGGCCCAGAAGCTTGGCACAACTCTTGAGGGTTGAGAGAACAGAACATCAAGGCAGCCCCCGGCCTCTCTCCTTGAGGATTCATGCCACCTCCTGGTGCCCCCAGAAACCTAGTGGTACAGTTGGCATAATCCAGGAACCACCAGGCCAACATTCTCCAGCTGGCCTGAGTCCAAGGGAGAAGCTCTAACGGTGGAACCGCAAATAGAAGCTGAGGGTGCCTGAAGTCCTCCTCCACCCCAGTGCCCTGCCCACTACAGGGCCTGCTCCTACTGGGCTGGTCAGATTGGATTGGTACAAGTGGTGTCTATGAGTGTGTCTGGGATCCATCAACTTGATGGTCCAGTCCTAACTGCTGTCTCTGCTGTACAACACCTGAGCCTCTGACCCGCATCACTCCCCATTACCTTACTCCTGCCCACTCCCCACCTTCCCCACAGAACAATGCTGGCTCTCCCTGACTTGCACTTTCCCTAGGATTGTCTTCCAGGTCCCCCGGGGGAAGAAATGTGAGGTTCATATAGGCTTGTATGGAGGAGGTCACAGCTGGATGGGTACAGGTCACAGCTGTGCAGGAGCAGTCACAGCTATTTGGAGACGGTAACAGCTATGTGGGGTCATATATGGGAAGGTTACAGGGATATAGGGCACATAGCTGGGTGGGAAAGGTCACAGTGGTGCGGTCTGGATCACCTCTGTGTGTTGGGTATGGGTAGGGTAGCTCACAGGTATGCATGGGCCCCATTTGTGTGGAGGGGTCACAGGTGTGGGGGACAGGCCACAGCTCCTTTCTTCTTTCTTGCTCTCCCATTGTTGAGCACCACCATCTTATTGTTGCAACTTTTTTATTTTTGAGACAGAGTCTCACTTTGTCACCCTGGCTAGAGTGCAGTGGTGCAATCTCCACTCACTGCAACCTCCTGGGCTCAAGTTATTCTTGTGCCTCGGATGACCAAGCCGCTGGGACTACAGGCATGCACCACCACGGCCGGCTAATTTTTGTACTTTTAGTAGAGACAGGGTTTCAGCATGTTGGCCAGGCTGTTCTTGAACTCCTGGCCTCAAGTGATCCACCCGCCTCAGCCTCCCAAAGTGCTTGGATTATAGGGGTGAGCCACTGCACCCGGCCCATCATTTTATTGACCAACACCTGAATCTTCTCTCCAGCCTGGCCTCCCCATACCATGGCCATGAACACCTGAGACCGCTCCACTTCTGTGTCTACCTCCTTCTTTAGCGTGTGAATTTACCAAGTCACCTTCCCGGTGTTTCCACCTCACTCTCTCCTCTTCACTCTCTACCCATCCCTGGCAAGAGAGGTGAGGGAAGGATGTCTTTACAGCCTGGGTTGGCACTGGCTTGGCCGGGCTTCTTTCTCCCGTCTGGCATCTTGGTTTTCACATCTAGTGTGCATCTACCTCTACTTTGTCACCCCCACAAGGACAGGGGTCTTTGTTGGTGTGGTTCACGGATGCATTGCCAGCACCCAGGCCAGCACAGGCACACTGCGTGCTCGGTGTTTACTGAATGGTGAGGCCGTCTCCACCATCAGGCCAAGTCAGGCCTGGTGCTGCTCTAGGGCTGCCCCTCTTGCCTCTGCCCATAGCAGCCCCTAAGCCACATGTCAGCCCTGAACTCCATGTTCACCTTTACCCACTCCAGCTTCCTCCAGCCTCTACCCAGGACTTCTTCCCAAGCATTGAGCTGCCACCCTCACCTTTCAGAACCCAATGTGGGAGCCACCTCCAAGGGCATCACCCCTGCTTCCCTGCTGCTGGCTGCCCTTGCCACTCAGCGGCTTCTTGAGTCAGTCTCCCCAGAGCCAGAATCTCTTGAAGCAGGGCTGCATGATAAGTCATCATGGACATGGATGGGACCCCAGGTGCGGGGTTGCTGGCTGAGGGGAGGGGCAGAATGCACTTCCGTCAGAGGCAGGGCTAGTGAAGCAGCTCAGAGCTAGTGACTACTCCAGCTGCTCCTTCTTTCGTCGGCAAGAGACTAGCCGTGCTCTCTCACACCCAGGCCCAAGATGCTTCCTTCTAGCCCCATCAGGCATCTCCAGAATGGGACAGGGACTGAACCTCAGGATTCAGATCCCAATCCCCTGCCCACCTCCCACCACCAGATCTGAGGGAGGGCTGTGACCCTGATGAGAGGTGCATGTGGCTGGAGTCCACTGCCCTTGGGAGCAGGGAGTGGAGGGGACACACTTGCCTCTGGGACCAGCAGGGAAGATCAAACGTTTCTCCCTGGGTTGGCAAGGAGGATGGCACTGGCCCAGCTGCGGGGACAGGGGCAAGTGGTAGCAGCACAATGAGCCCCCTCCCTCACACAAGGTGAGGCCCAATTCCCTTGCAACCAATATGGAGAAAGCAAGGTCTTTGGTGTTGGGATGGAATGTGGGTCCCTCCACTCCCAGTGGCTCCTGCCCCAGCAGAACAGTTCCAGAGTGGGCAGCTCTGGGCCCCCAGGTATTGGTGAATACATCTTTTTTTTTTTTTTTTCAGACGGAGTTTCACTCTTGTTACCCAGGTTGGAGTGCAATGGCGCGATCTCGGCTCACCGCAACCTCCGCCTCCTGGGTTCAGGCAATTCTCCTGCCTCAGCTGGTACTACAGGCACGCACCACCATGCCCAGCTAATTTTTTGTAGTTTTAGTAGAGACGGGGTTTCACCATGTTGACCAGGATGGTCTCGATCTCTTGACCTCGTGATCCACCCGCCTCAGCCTCCCAAAGTGCTGGGATTACAGGCGTGAGCCACCGCGCCCGGCTGGTGAATACATCTTAATCGAGAAGCCCCCAGCAGAGGGTTTCATAGAGACAGAGCTGAGCTCAAACCCCATGGGAGATTCTGGACTCTCTCACATACTCTAGCCCAGGTACAAGTTCCAAGCAGAGAAGCGGTTGTTTTATATTTAATTTACAAAAGAGACCCCAAAATAATAATAATAAACTATCCAAGGCAAGAGAGTAGGGTCAGGTCCTCCCCAGCCCAGCTGTATCCTCCTTCCCCTCTGGCAGGGAGAGAAGGGGCCTCCCAGGGGACTTCTCCTCCCCCTTAGAACAGGGGGGTGTGAGCTGGTATGGATGCCCTCCTGGGCATCCTGCGGGGTCTGCCCACTCCAGACTCCAGTTTGTCTACCCCCTGCAGGCTCCTGCATGCCTAAGAGAGCCCTTGTGGTAGAGGCCAGTCTGCTGGGCAGCTAGGCAGGAGACCCCTACAAGGTCCAGGAAAAGGCCAGGGCTGCCAGAGCCAGCAGACTGGTGAGGTGGGACCCAGCCCAGGCCTCACTGGCACCCCCAGCTGCCTGCCTATAGTCCCACTGGCATTGCTCACCACCCCAGCCCAAGTAGCACTGGCAGCGGAAGTGTGTCTGCAGGTGGTGACGGTCAGCCGAGCTGAGATTCCCCACAGGTCGCAGCTGGGGCTCACCAGGTGCACGGCCAGGCACTAGGCGGAAGCTGTTGGCGCTGAGATGCAGGAAGGTACTGGCACTGGGGTTGCGGCGCACACAGCGCCCATGGCCATGGCATTGGGCCCAGCTGCAATATTGGGTGGCCCAGGACACATTGACCACGTAGGGGACCAGCAGCCGTGTCAGGTAATCCTTGAGATACTGGCAGGTCTCCTGGAGGCAGAAGCCAAGGACCATAGGTCAGAGTCAGCTGTCTCAGCCCACAGGCCCAGACAGAAACTCTGTGTCCACACTGTGATGACCATACCTTATTTTAACTGCACACATTTGTGCATTCAATCTGCGCCTGAGACACACAGTCCCTCCTCCTGCCGAGAAGTGGGTGGGGGCAGAGACCGGAACCCAGTTGGGCAGATGGGGAAGGGTGGAACTCAACAGCTGTTCAGGACAGCATTTCCTCTTTCCTGAGAGCAGGGCAGGGGTGACCTCCTTCTCTGTTGGTACCCAGGATGCCTCGGGTGGGAGACAGACAAGGGGACTGAACTAGGTTTGCCCATCTGAGGTTGGTAGCCAAAGGCCCTAACTCTCTGCCTGTCCCGTAGACTGAGATCTGGCAGGCTGGGTCTCACTTACCGTGCTTGTAGTGTACCCTGCGTCGCCCCAGAGGATGACACCAGCTGCGCCCAGGGCTGCACTCTCGCCAATGGTAGAGATGAGGTCCATCTATTCAAGAAAAGAGATGGTCACTGGGGAAGACTGAGACCACAGGCCAGTCAGGCACCAGCCTGTTTCAACCTGCTGACCTCCCAGCCCAATCCCCTTTTCACCTCCAGGCAGAGGCTCATCTGTTTCGCTTTCTTCTTAAATGTTTTAAGTCCATTCCCACCCCACTTTTGGGCCTGTTTCCCAAGCCAAGGGCACACTCGAGCCTAGGGTGCAGCGATCAGGATGGACTCCCAAGTTAGAATGCCTGAGCCCCAGTCTCTGTTCTGGTCTGGATTTGCTAGGAAGCTTTGGGCAAACTTCTCAGCATTTCTGTGCCTCAATTGTTCTCATCTGAAAAATGGGGATGATGTTGGCCTTTGAGTTTAGAGAGAAAATATTTGAGGCGATGTGGAGCAGCCAATAAACTATAGGTATGTATAGTCCTATAGTGGCCCAAATGTTCAGTGGATCCTCAAGGAAGGAGGAAAAAGGCAGGGCCCTGGAGACATACCTCACTCAGCCCCCTGAGCCTGCGGCTATAGGTGGGCCGTGTGAAGACGTAGACTGGGAGTGCATGGTTGTTGGCATGGTGGGTGTGAGCCACACGAAGGGCCTCCTGAACACGGAAGCTCACAAAGTTGCGGCCATGGGCGGAGGAAGCGAGTGTCTCGTCCAGGTAGACAGACGGGAAGAGGGCCGTGCTGTTAGCCCACAGCCAGGCCAGCTGGTCGTTGCGGGCCACCTCAACATCAGGGCAGCGGCCTGTGTAGCTCTCCCGGTTCTGCACATAATCATGATTGTAGCAGTCAGGAAAGAGGTAGAAGCCCCAGAGATGCCGGGGCCGCACTGCCTTGACATAACGCAGTGTCTCCAGCATGAACTGCCGTGCTGCACACTCAAACTCATATTGTGCCTGCTTGACTACGCGGTCTGCTTGCCAGTCAGGGTGACGACTGGCCACCAGCTGGCGTGATGACCGGCGGTACACATCTTTGTCCTGCCAGTTGCGCACCCACACAGGCCGCCAGTCTTCCCAGTCAATAACCGCCAGCCCCGCAGGCTCTGGTGTCCGAATGTAATGCTCCACATGATCCCGCAGCATTTCCAGGTGTGCCCAGAGGCTGCCATTCTGTGGCACACCACCATGCACAGATCTTCCCGCAGAATCGAAGCGTGGATACAGGCCTAGACGGTCGCGGTAGAAGATGGTGATATTCTGGTTCACAAAACCTTCATTAGGTGAGGCCTGCACGTCAAAGGCATTCAGGTCCAGTGGCACCTTGAGGCGTGGGCCACAGTCCTGTGTGGGCACGTCCCATGCCACCACAAAGGGGCGGCCCGTGAAGATGGGTGGTGCTGTGGGCTTGAGCTCCATGGCCCATGCCACCGCCAGCACCAGGGCCAGTGTGACGGCGGGGCCTGGGCCTGTCCGCATGCTGGGGGCTGCAGGAAGTGTCACCTGCCTGGCACCAGCTCAGGAACTGGAAGAAGGGTGGGGGAGAACAAGTCAGTCTAAGGAATCCTGGAGGTGCCTACCTTAAGTCCCTCTATGTTCCTAAAGCCCATGCTGTGTGGGGCATTGTGCTCATGGCTGTAATAGGTTTGAGAGATCACAGGCCACTGCAGGGCAGGCAAGACACCCTGGGAACTCACTGCCAGAGTACAAGGCTCCTTCCTGGAGGAGGTAGCCTATGGCTGGGCATAAATCTCTATTATGTCTGTGACCCTTTTAAGAATTGGATAAATTGGGCTCACCAGGGTCACATGTATGCCTGCATACTATGAAGTATATGGTTTCAGAGGACCCTGAACCCCTGATGCCCACCCTGTACACAGTGAAGAACCCTTGATCCAGAGAAACGATAGCATTTGGGTAAAGCTCCTGGAGGCTAGGAAGCTGGAAGGCAGGCAGCCTCGAGGCTTCTATCCGTGTAACACCGGCCCGGCAAAAGAGTGAGGCTGTCAGGACTTTCTCTCGAGTGCTGACACTCTCCCGGCTTGGAGGAGGCCCCGCGGGGACAAAAGGGCAGCGGGCCTCCCACGGCTGCGCCCGCAGACCAGCCCTTCCCTCCACCGCCACAGGGAATGCGCCCGCGCCCGCCTCCCCCGCCCAGCGGCTCAGGGCTAGAGCGCGCTCCCCCTGGCCTTTGTGCGGGACCCCGCCCCCGCCCCGCACGTGGGGCCTGCGCCCGGCCGGGTTGGGGTAGGGTTTCTGGGCCGCCTCTCCGGGAGCACCCCCGGGGATTCAGACCCCAGCCCAAAGAGAGAGAGCCGCCAGGTTTGCACCGCCCGCCCTCACCTCGCGCGGGGCGCGACCGGGACCCGCGCCAGGGCCACCGCCATCCCGGGCCCAGCTCAGCCCGCTCCGGCCGTTCGCCCAGGCGCGGCCCCGGCTCAGCGCCCCTGCTGGTTCCGCCCCCAGGCCCGCGGGCCCTTTAAGACTCCAGGGTGTAGGTGGGCCCGGGACTGGACGTGCGGCCGGGGCGGGAAGGTGTGTTCCGCCTTTTTCGGTGCCAGTGCCGCGTTTCGGGCTCGAAGAGCCCCAGCTCCTCTGCAGAGGAACTTGCCGCCCATCTGGGATCCTAAGGACCCTCTGAGCAGGGCTTTCTGCGGGAGTCTCAGTGACAAGCGCCAGTCAGCCTGAAATGTTCCCCCTTGCAGCACGAGGCCGGTGGTACAGTCCCGCCCGCTCCGCGGCAACGCCAGCCCCTTAAAGGGACAGTATGAGGGACGGGGTAGGCGACGGGGAGGGGAACAGGAGGAGGTGTTGCCCCGCTCGGCCATCAGGAGGTGCTGTGGTACTCCGAGGTTGGCGGGGGGCAGCACAGATCTGGCTCTGCACCCCCGAACGTAGACGCCAGCTGTGGGGCCCCTTTGTGTGGTAAAAGGGACTTTGACCTGAGGCGACCTCTGGTCTCAGTAATGCCCCACCTCCCACGAATCAGGGGCCCCCTTCTCTGATCCGCTGTGTAAAGGGAGGCCCCGCCCCCTGCCAGACTGAGGGAAGGGGCCAAACACCGCTTCTCAGCCCGCCAGGGCAGGGCCGAGGCAGTCATTGTCCTGGCACCCCGATTATGGGTAGCGGCGTGGCCGGCGGGGCTGGGACAGGGAAGCTCAGAGGGGTGTAGGGGGTTGGGCACCCCCCTCCTTGACTCTCATCAGGGCGGGCCAGTCATCCCTGAGATTCTGTTCTTTTCTGCCCAGGCTCTGGGGTCCTTTGGGAGCCTGGCTCCCTCTCAACCCCGAGGAAGCTGCCACACCTTGCAGCAGTTTCTGGCTGGACCTCCGAGAGAGCCAACAAGAGGGTTCTCCCAGAGCCTCCACCCCGTTTCCAGAGCCCTCTACGCTCCACAGGCCCCTTCCAGTGGGGAGCAGGCTTAGAGCTGGACCCTGGCGAGCCCCGTGCGAGACCACCTCGGCTCTTCCTAGGTCCGCTCCCTTGTGGGAAACTCAGTTCCCCATAGGGCCCGCGTCTGCCCGACCAGCCCCTAACCCTCCCAGGAGCCAGGAGAGGCAGGGAGCGCTGCTGCGAGCGCATCTGTGGGGGTGCAGACCAGTCGTCTGCACTGGCTCACCTGTGTGGGAGTCCGTCGGCCCAGTAGGTCGGCGGCCTCCCTCCTTCCTGGGGTGAGCCTCTCCAGCTAGGCTACTTGCGCCAGCTGCTGCCCGTTGGGCAGCCCGCGGAGGACTTGATAAACCCCATTCCCTCCCATCCGCTCCCGCCTCCCATCCCAGCCCTTTCTCCTCACTTCCTGCTGCCCCCTGAGGAAAGGGCCAGAACAGGCGTGGGGGAGGAGATCGCCTTGACCCTGTTTCCCTCCGGAATGCCTGCTGGCTGGCTGCCCTTCCCACCCTTCTCCTGAGTAGGATCTGGTCCCTGCCAGCTGCGCCAGGTGACAGGAAGGCTATGGGCTCAGGATCAGATGCCAATATCCCCCACACCCACAGCTTCCAACACTAAGGAACCTCTTCACTGCTCCCCTAGGGTTGGGGTCCATCCTCAAATCCAGTAGGATGTGAGAGGATGGGTCAGGTGCTGGTGCTTTTGTGATTCAAAATACTTGGGGGGTGTTCAGCTGATGGTCCCTGAGAGCAGGTGCCAAAGAAGGGAGCTAGCCCTAGGGGGAGGGTCCGGGGAACTTCCAGTAGCTGAGTCCATTTGTTTTTTTTCCATTGAGAGCAGAAGCATCCCATGTGACAGAGAGGACAATGTGTTGGTGAGTGTGACTGTGTGGGTTGGGGAGGAGGGGACAGGGGCTGGGAGGGTTCTCCAGAGTGCTTTCGTGCTGGAAGACATTCCTGGGTGGATTTCAGAATCTGTTACCCAGAGTAGGGGGCTCCTTACAACATGGATGAGGAAAGGGGTATATTCCTCTAGGAGGGATGTTCCTGTGGCTGGCCCTAGGGAGGACTGCAGGAAGGTTCCAGCAGACCTCTCCAGGGGTGAAGCCAAGTCAGCCTACCCTCAAATCACCCAGAGCCAACCCCTCAGCAACCCAATGGCCCAATGTCCAGGAGCCTCTCCCTCAAGAGAAGCCTGTGTGAGGGGTAGGTGAATACCCTGGAGTCTGGCCCTGAGGACCAAGGAGTCCAAGACATGGTAGGGGAAGGTGCAGTGTCCCTGTGCCACTGTGCTGGCTTCACAGGGGTCAGAGGCCTTGGAAGCACCATGGGTGGGGACCCCTGGGGAAACAAAGGCTAGGCCAGACTGTCCCAGGGCAGGGACACTTCCTCAGGCAGTCAGCAGGAAGGAAATGAGCACAGCCCAGCGGGAGAGAGTGGGGAAGTGCTGCCTGACCTCCATTGTTTCCAGCTTTGGGGTCAGCTGGGCAGGCCCAGCACAGGGAGTTCCCCCAGGCTGGGACAGTGGTGGTAGGAGATAGGATGCTATCTGGGATGGGAGAGCCCTGGGCTTTGAACAGCCAGTAGAGGGGGACCATGGAGGATGACAGGACCTCATTTGGCTTCCTATGGGGGATATAGGGAGGAACCCCACTGTGGGTAACCCCCCATATAGGCACTGAGGAATGAGAGCTAAGCAGAACTCTGGCACAGTTAGGGCCTGAGGAATATCTCAATTTATAGTGTTACTACTCAGCTATTTCCTTTTATAATCATATGTTAGTTTATAGAATTAGGGCTTGAAGAATCCCTTTATATAATCCTCTATATATAATCATAAAATAGTTGATAGTATGAGTGCCTAAAGAATATTTCCCTACATATATACCTATAATTATATCTTAGTTCATAATCGGAGGAATGCCTAGAGTGGACACAGTACAGAGCATGAATTAAGGAATAAGCAGTGATAATTGGAGGAACGCCTAGAGCAGACACAGTGCAGAGCATGATTTAAGGGAAAACAGTTATACCAGAACAAGAATCCATGGCCCAGGCGGCAGCGTTCAGTATTGTAAAGATACCCGCTGTATGGCAGGCTTGGGGCGAAAGCCACTCCTCCTGATAAAGGAGTTGTAGGAACTTGCTCCAGTTCTTGTGGAAGGCTGCCCTCAGACCGGCAATCCACCTTGGTGACTGTGAACTTTAACAGCTCTTGCTACTTTGCTGCTTGAAAAGCATCTTCCCATAGAACCCATTGGAAGCTGCCAGAAGGTGGCGGTAACCTTGACAGCTGTCACTGCTATGGGACTTAAAGCATCCTCCTATAAATCTTCTTAGAAGTAGTTTGCCCATAGATAGAAGTATTGCACACTGCACCCTCTTCACTGCCCACCCTCTTCACGGCCCACCTTCAAGCCTCGGTGACCTAATGCGGGTGAAACCCTTACTGCACATGGCCCTTGCCTTCGTGGGAACAGGCCCCTTGCTGTGCACTGTCCACCTCCTGGCCTAGGTGACCTAATGGGGGTGGACCCCATGTTTTATTGCTCACGACCCTATCACTATCCTTAAAGATGATTTCACTCACTGCCCTGCCCCCTAACCTATACACAATAAATACTCATGCTTCTGGACATTCGGGGCCTCGCCTGACTCCACTCATAGGTGGCATGGCCCCCCGAGCCCAGCTGCATTTTCTTTGTACTTCTGTGTCCTGTCTTTATTTCTCGGATCCTGCACCTGAACACAGCATAAGGCTCACCCCACGACCCTGTGGGGCCCTCAGCCCTACACGCCACGGAACTGCAAGTCCAGGCTGGATATGGTGATCCTGCTCTGGGCTTGACAAGTTCAAAGCCTGGAAGGCCAGCTCCCTACACTCAGAAGCCTGTCCCTGAACTCTCCCCTCTCTAACTGGTAGTTGGGCTGAGAGTCAAAGGCTAAGCCTAGCAGAGAATCTGCCTCATAGTAGTCCCTGAGAAGTGCAGGCAGAATGACCACAGTGGGCAGGCTGCAGGTGGTGAGAAGATGGAGGCGACAGAGAGCAAGGGCAATACTGGTGGGCTGAGCCTTGCTTGCGGAAACAGAAGCCTGAGCTCATTCTCCCATGGTGTCCACAGGCAGGCCTCAGAGGAGGCACTTGAGTTTGGGGTGCCAAGCCTGAAAGTAGGCCAAGGGTGTGGGAACACCTATCTGAGTGCTGTCCATTAAAGCTGGGCCTTTGAGGTCCATGGGGCTCAGGCCACGACCCCACTTAGGGTCAGCTGGCAATGCTGCAGCTAGGACAGATATTCTAGAACTGTCTGGGGTCATACTCTCTCACCTTAGGTCAGGCAGGTGGGGCCACTCCTTAGTGAAGTATCCCAGGGCTTTCTGATTCCAAGGGTCACCACCACATTGAACACAACAGATAAGTGAGTGTTCTCCCAGCCCAATCTGGAGGGGGCCTGCAGTGAGGTCTGTGTGAACACACAGCCACCTGCTGGCCACAGCTGGGATAGCCACAGGCTGGGCTCAGGCTTACCCCTGGGCTTTGCTTGGCCTTAGGAGGCCTGCTAGAGTCTTGGGCCAGGCCTACCTATTGATCCCAGGTAGTAGTCTAGATGCTGGGTGTCACAGCCCCATAGGATGCCACTCTCAAGTGCAGGATCTACAAATCATTTTATTGAAATTGAACAAAGAACACAACAGTCTTCCTAGGCTGGGGGCCACCCTCCCCAAGCCATTTCCCACACTCTAGAAGCACAGTGCTTGCACAGTATTTAAAAAAAAAAGTCACCGCTATATAGAAATCAGACTTTTCCACGACATCATCATGGACTATTTACAAACCTTCACATTATAAGCATTCCTTTTATGGTTTTCCCTCCTTTCTTTCCCTACTCAGGGGCTCCAGTACTTTCCCCTGACTCATCCTGAAGGGGGCGGGGACGGTTACTATAAGGGAAGGGGTGGTAGGCTACTCATAACTACTGGCACCAGCCTTAGGGTGTTGTCCCTTACCACAAGGTGGTGAACAGTCCCCTCCAATTGGGGGTGTGTGGAGGACTTGATGCAAAGGCATGGGGGATTAGACAGAATAGGTGGGTTGGAGTAACTCCCCATAGGCACAAGCATCCGCAGCCTGTCCTGACCCCGGCCTGCACTCTCTCAACTCCTCAAATGGGGGTGTGTGTGGGGGGCAACTAGTTGCAGTGGGGGGATCAGCCCAGCCCTGGGTAGAGGGAGAAGCCCCCATCTGGTCCCCGCTCCTATCAATAGCCAGCAAACTGTCCATCCATCTGAAGGCGGGAACAAATGGCAGGTAGGTGGGAAGAATCAGGCTGGCACTGCCCCCAGCCTCTGTCCAACACAGGAGGAATCGAGGTAGCAAATGGCTGAAATGCTCTGACTAGGGGGTCAAAAGGGAAGTGAAGGAAAGGACAGTGCCCACAGCCTAGGGGCTGGAAGAAGGCAGACCTTGCTTGTAAAGTGCTGTAGCCTCTAGCAGGGCTAGGCCCCAGGCAAACTTGGAAAGCAGACCAGGCAAGGAATCAGGTACTGGGTATTCCTGACTGGTATATGCCCTGCCATGCTTCTTGCAGGGGTGGCTGGGGAGAGTGGGGTACTAACTCTGCCATTAGCCTTCACCAGCCACCAGCCACCTCTTGTCAACAAACAAACCAACACCCAACCAATACTGTGGGACTGACCCGCTCACAGCTGAAGGTTATGGGCCAACGGAGTTTATTCAGGGTTGTGGTCCCAGCCTGGGGCTCCTCAATGGAAGCCACACCTTGAGCCTGGGAGTTTCTTGCTGGGGCAGGGGGTGCTTCTGTCTGCCACCTCCCAGGCTCACACCTCATAGAGGATCACAGGAAAATCCACGTGGATGCGGGGGGGATCCAGCTTCACGATGCCCTGCCATAGAAACAGAAGCTAGTGAGGGTCAGGTTAGAGCCTCTACTTCAGGAAGCTTTCTTGTTCCTCCCAGATCCCTCCCACCCCAAGAGCCTCCACCACGACAACAGATCCCATCTGGGTCTGCCTTCACACGCTTAGTGTAGGCTCTGGTGACCACTGTCCAGCCCCTCACCTGAGGAATCAGATTCTTATGCACTCGCCTCAGCTTGGCCCGCTTCTGCCCGTTCTTAGTGACGATTGTCTCCTCATAGAACTCGTGAGCCAGATCCCCATCCTCATCA